TCGCTTTAAAAACTTTCATTTATTATCACTTATAATGATTCCCTTTGTTTACAAAACTGTCAAAATGTATTTATTATCATATATAAAAACTGTAGACTAGAACTATGATTGAAAAATATTTAACCTAAAAATGTTTATTMTTTATTATTCCTGTGTGATTAAATTATTATTTATATGATTCCTGTATGATTGAAAACMCTTTCATGCATTATCGTCATTATCATATAATGATTTCTTTTGTTTACAAAACTGTCAAATTGCATTATCATTTATATATTTTATATATTTTATATCATTTATATATTTTATGATTGAAAAAATAATAATATTAACTGCACTAAAATATATTTATTATTATATTTTATCATTCCTGTGTGTAAAATAGAGGGTATTACATGTTTGCACGGAAATTAAATTGCAACACTCATTTGTGGGATATCATTCAAAACGCAAAGATGAMATTCATATCTTCAAGGGACAACTACTGTATTAAGTGTTTATTAAATGATAAATTGGTGATAGCAAAAAACTGTAACATAATCATTAGAAGATCAAAAAGTTTGAACATATTAATTATTGAATTTTGATTTTTGCACAGTTGAAAAACTGTCAAAATATCTTTATTATAAATTCAGGACTTCTGCATAATTGAAAAATATCAAAACTTTCAAAATACATTTGTTAGTATTATTTATGATTTCTGTATGATTAATATCATTTGATGATTCCTTTAATGATTGAAAAATATTTAAACTTTCAAATTAAAAATCAAACTATAATTTATTAATAATTATAATATACTGTAATTTAATAATAATTATTAAGTTATGATTTTGGTAATATTATTCAATGAAGTTTTCCTTCATCAGCATTCTGAATAGATAATGAGTACAGTGAGTAGCCTGGTTAAGATCAGATATTATTTGTCTCAGCTTTTGCTCAGTACTACATTCATTTCTACATACTGCCTCTGACTTGATTTCTGTAATCAGATTGAAAAATATCAAAACAGTCATTTTTATAAGACAAAGTATTATTATTTTATCTATTATATTTAACGATGAACATACTGAGCCAGATGAGATGCCTGAAGTTCCTAGARTTCTTAACGACAGACAACCATGTGTTGAAGCTAATGACCGAAACGATGAAAGTGGACTGATTGAGAGAGCAAGAGCTGTTGGTATTGCCTATGAGTTTGCAAAACCTGGTAGTACTGAAAGTGATGACGATAAGAGAAGACGGAGACGCCGAAATCAAAGACGGATTTTGCAAGGCGAAAGGAGAATCCTTGAAGTGATAAATAATCTTCCCCCACCACCCCCACCGGGATCAAGTCAACATGAAGATGACTGCTATGCTGCTATTCGAGCATTTGAGGTTGAGCAAATGACTTATGAA